AGGTGAGTACTGCACTACACAGATGTTCTCTGCCTTAAGTAGAGAAACGGAAATTCTAGATTTTTGTGGTCTGTGTAATTGGATACCAAACAACTTTTTAAGGGTGAATCTTTTTTTCAGGAAATGTTCTCTCTCATTTATGAGTTATTTATAAAAATTTATTCAGTGTGTTTCGCAGTTCTGGTCAATTTACTGCGCATAGTGTTTCCTTTTACCTTCTTAAAATCCTAGGTTCCATAAGATCTCTCTCCAAGTTAATCAGAAGGAGTTGAGTAGTAATAGATGACTTCTCCTCATAACTGTTTTGATTAACGGACAGTGTTCTGTATTAGTAGTTCGCATACTTCGGTTGTGTGGCAGTTACTGGGAAACTTTATATGTAAACACTGAAGTCCAGGCCCTTTGAGCCTGAGCCTCTGTTCTTCTGTGGTTCTCCGGGTGATTTCGATGCTTCGTGTCAAAACTGAAGTTCCACATTAAGACCCCTCTTTGTACTCGCATACCTTACAGCTAGACACTCATTTGGGCAGTTGCTCGTGTGCATGCTTCCTTCTGTGAGGCACTGGAAAACCAGTCTTACGCAGCTGGCGCTGAGTACAGTCTACTTGCTTACAGTTTACTTATTGATACAAGTTACTTAAGGGGGAGAAATTTTGGTGAGATTTAGCTTTGCCTAAACCTTAGCCAAGTCAAATTCTGTAACCACGTATTGAGTAGATTTTTGCAGAAGTCCTAGGTAGGTGGTTTTTGTACCAAATTTTATTAAAATAGATAAAATCCTGGCGCATTTGGTTCCCTTATAGGTGATAAAAACAGAAGAATGAACCATTGTTATCCAAGTTGTTAGGTACCTAAGTTTTTAGGTAACCCTTTTTGAGGTACATAGTACAGTGTTAAGAGCAGAGACCTTGGTTGCAGATGGCCAGGGCTTTACATCTCAGCTCTTTGTCTTACTGGACTTACTGGGTGACTGACCTAGGTCAGTCATCTGTCTCTGTGCCTCAGTTTTCTCATCTTTAAAACGTATGTTGTCACGAGGGTGAAATGAGCAGATATATGTAAATTGTGATATATCATAAGATTCGTGTACACTTTGTTG